AAACCGTAATGCATTCCACCTGGCTCGCTACCTCGCTCTCTGCCTTTCGGCTCTCCCTCTCTCTCTCTCTCTCTGTATCGCTGTCATAAAACGCTTATCAATTGCCTTGTCGCCTGTGTGGCGGCATTTTTAACAGTTTGCTTTTATTACTTTTATTGGTTATGTTTTCTTTCTTTCTTTTTCACTTTTTGCACTATTACCCGTGTTATTAGTTTCTGCGTCTGCGTCTGCTTATTGTTGCTGCTGCCTGCCTGCTGCTGTTTGGCTTTTAACGATTATGAAGCCAGGTTTCATGGATCCAAATGAGCTAATTTAGATGCCTTGATGGTTTTATAATTGTACTTGCACGCCGTCGTTTTTATGGCAGCTCTTTTTATGTCTGTCTGTCTGTTTGTCTTTCTGTGTGTGAGCACAGCAGCCGCGCGGCAATGACAGAAGGGAAGGCAAAAGATTGAGTTTTTTTTTTTCCTTTCCATGGGCAGTTTTGCACTGATTTTTGCTATGGAATGAAGTCATATGGGAAATGTTTTGGCTGTGTTACATATATCAAATCAAAGATTACGCGTTTTTTTTTGTTTTTACTTTTTGCAAGTTCGTGTCCCAAGTCTTTTGTATTTCTTTGGAATTTTCTTAGAAATTAAGTCATATCGCGGTAATGGTAGGGCTATTTTATACAACATTAGTTCAAAGATTATCGAATGTCTCTCTTTTTCAGCATTTTTTTTTTTTTTGTTTTTTTTTGTAAATTTGAAAGTTTGTGTCCCAAGTCTTTTATATTTCCATAGGAAATAATTTCTAAATAATTTTCTTTGTATATTTTGGTGGGGTTTTTCAGCGTAGAGTTGCAAATATTTTCAATTCCTTGAATTCCTCCGATCCTTGTCTCTCAGTGCATTTTATTTCTGTGTATTGTGTGGAAAAGTCAACAACTACAGCGACAACAGGGGCAACACCAAGAAGCAAGCCAAAACATGAACGAGAACCACTTTGAATTCCTTTTGTCAGGTCATTAGCGTTAACTAAAGTTTTGCCTTAAAGTTAGACTCCTTTTGAATGGCCACAGTACCCCCATGTTGCCCCCTGCCCTTCCCATCCCATCCCACCCGACACTCCATTCCACTCCACTGCTCCACTGTCACAATAACAAAGTGTTGCAACATTGTTGCATTTGGGGCTACGTTGGCGGTCGTTTAACGAGCACAAAACCCAGCCCTGGGCACCACCAGCCACGGCAGCAACACAATGCAGGAGGGAGGACGTGCAACATCAACCAACAAAAAAGAGAGAAGAAAAAAAAAGGAAAACATGATCATCCATGGGGACCCATCCAGGGACGAGGTGTACACGCTGGTTCTTTATTACAACTTCTATAAATGATTTCCGCTATTAAAATGAAACACTTTTGCATAATTTTTCACTTAGAAAGGACAACAGGCCACAGAGCCAAAGAGCCACAGTCCCAGGCACCAAGCAGTGAGGGGGGCAGAGGCAGAAGAAATTCCTCACGCTTTATAAGGCCCGCCAGGTATGCCCGAAAATTCCACACACCACAAACGCCTACCCAGCCACAGACATGGACATGTCCAGACTCGGGAACCCTCTGCTCTACCCTCAGTACGAGCATGTGGGCATCCATACAGAAACTTCGTTCCTCGTCATCGTCATCGTCAACGTCTTCTTCGTTCGGGTTTTGATAATGCGCCTCCGCCTACTTTTCCATCTCCCTCTCCATCTCGTAACCTGTTGAAATGTGTGACAAATTGGGCGTAAAGAGTGCCTCATCCTCATCCCTACTCTCCTCTCCCCCCAGCTCCTGCTCCTGCTCAACTTCACGTTCTGATTTTATTCCTACCACCATAACCCCTGGCCATGCAACGACGTGGGCGTGACAACAGCGATTTTGGTACCGATTTTTTGGTGTCTTTCCTCTTGGCCCGAAAAAGCAAATTTTTGGAGCGCGGTCTCCGTACAAAAATTGAGTCATAAATTTGATGCTTATTAAACTGTAAGCCTGAAGTTCATTCCAGTGCGGAGCAGATGCGATGTATAAAGGGTGCTTAAGTTCTCAGATATATGTCACGGAAAATTAGCTTTATTTTGTCTATAAAGATGAGGAAAGTCCATGGGGAAATCAATGAATTTAGAGACCATTTATTGCAACCCAAACTAAGCTTCGTTACTGCTTTAAATACTTCCGTCTACATTTTCCATAGACAAGCTGCTGCTGCTGCTGTGTTGATTTTTCCCAAGGTTTTCCTTCAGCCTCCCCCCTCCTCCAACACTTTTGCGACTTGTTAACTAACAAATCGGCAACAAAATTAATCACACAAATACGAAATGTGTTGCGTTTTATATGAGGTGTTTCGGTTTTTTGTTGTTTTTTTGGTTTTTTATGGCCTAAACTGGCAGCTTGTACAATTTCGTGAAAACTCATTAAAATAGTTTGCTGCTGCTGCTGTTGCTGGTGGTTGGGAAAAACATTAAACTATTTCCCAGTAGCCACGAACATGAAAACAGCATGGAATGGAAAAAGGAAACAAGGCGAACGAACGGTTCGGCGATCGAAGGAGAGAGACATGGACATGGATGTAGACAAAACGAAAAGCAATTTTAATGAAGCCAGAGTTGGAGGCCAGGCACTTGTTGTTGTTGCTCTGCTGCTGCTGATGCTGCTGCTGTAGCTTTTGTATCAGGCCGCATTGTTGCTGCCTTATAAGCGTGGCATGCATTTGTTGTCCGCAATGCTGCTGCGAGTGGCACGATGTAATTGACATCATTAGACTAAAGCGCAGCGAGACCGACTCTGACTCCGACTCCGAGTCCGAGTCGGGCCAAATGGAGCTCTAGAAAGTGGCAGCCATGCTGCAGCAACCACCGTTAGCCGGTTACCGTTCTATGGAGAGCGAGCGAGCAAACGACCCACCGCAGTGTGGTCTGGGGCCCCATTTAGGGTCAAATTATGCAAATTATTAAATGAAAATCAAATCTAATATAATTATTTTTATTGACCTGCAGAGACAGCGAGAACAGAGGGGGGTAGGGAGCTCCATGAGATTTGAATTTTTAATTTTCCCTTGTCACATAAATTTCTTGCTTAAGCATTTTTGGTCAAGACTTTTGGTTTGGGAACTTTTTTGGGTTCACTTCACCCACCTTACGACTACAACTACAACTACTCACCATGGATGGAATGCCGCTTGCAGACTGGAAAGTTCACCTTGTTCTTCTCTTTCTCTCTCTCTACTGTTGCTGTTGTTTTATCTGTTAATGCTGCTGGTTCTCTGATTTTCTCCTTTTTTTCCGTTGTTTTTGCTGGCTTCTTTTCTCCTTCTGCTCTTCTTGTTTCTCGTTTTGTTTTATCACAGACTGAAGAATTATTTTTAAATTAATTTAATTGGTGAAAATATGCGGAAAGAAAATGAGTGTCAACGAGAGTGAAGAGCGCGAGGCACGAGAGAGCGAAATAATTTAGAAAAGATGTTTCTCTTCTTCCGTTGCGGAATAGATACACATGTACATACATACATATGTATTTACAGCGTTATATGCACTGTAGACTTTTCAAATTCCTCAATTATTCATCCCGATCCCGATTAACTGTAATTCCTTTTCCCTAACCAGCCACGAATGCGGCCCTCACTTTGCACTTTTCACTCACTCTCTTTCACACTCTATCACGCACACACACACACACACTCATTAACGCACGAAAATATTTGTTGCCGTAATCCATTTGCAGTTTTTTGCGTTGCATAAAGTTATTAAAGTTATGCAGGCCGTTATGTTGTTTTACATTTGCTTTTGTTGTTCTTTGCATAAATTAAAAATTCATTTTTATGGCTTTTATGTGTCATTCTGTTTGGGAATTTATGTAGAATACAGACTGCTGCTGCTGCGGCCAACCAACAACAAGAAGCAACAGATGAAGCAGAAGAAGAAGCAGGCATGGGCCAGAGTCGCACTCACACACCTGAGACAAAACCACACACACTTACACACACACACTTACACATACGCGGGTCAAACAAGTCAAGCAACTTTATTTCATCTTTTTGCTGGAAGCGGCCAATCTTTGGATTGCCTTCCTTTGGTTTTTTCGTTGTTGTTTTCTACAACTTCTTGTTGTTGCTTTTGTTATTGGTGTAGCATTTACTGTGGAATGCACCAAAGCGAGAACGTTTTGGGGGAAAATTACGACAACTACAACCAGTGCGTCCGTCTCGGCCATTGAAATCGAAGTCCAATGTTGTTTGGCGAAAATGTGGAAAAGTAAATGGCCTCGATAACGAACCAAGGAAAAAAAAAGGAGCATCACAGAGGGATACACAGTGCATAAATTCCAGAGCTCGAAAAACGCCAACATATATCGAAGCTACCTTGCGGAGTTCAAAGGCCGTTGCCGAAATTTTCTCAGCTTTTGTATCGCATTTCTTTCTTTTCAAACTCACTTTACAAATTTGCCACAATTGCAGCAGCAGACACTGGACTGTAAGTTGTTTTTTTCGAAACCGAGATACCGCGTTTGATTCACTTCACGCGTGCGCACAACCTTTCGGTACCGTAATTTTTGAGTTTTTCCAGCAAAGCGGGATTTGAGTGGGTTTTTGCAAGTTACTTTAAGCCAGCATGGTATAACCAAATTAGGTAAGTTAAGAGTGACTTAAATTCCCTACCTAATGTAGGTATACCATGCTGGCTTAAATTAAATGAGAAATCGATAGGAATTACTGTTTTTTATTCGAATGCCATGTAGCGAAATTATTTAATTTTTGTTCAAATCATATTTTATAAGCAATATTTACCAGCTACTAGCTTGTAGTATCTTTATTACTAATACTAAAATGATACTACTAAATGACAAAATCGAGGAATTTAATTTCAAATCAATAACAAAAAATAACGAATAATGTGAACTAATTTAGTTTTTGTTAATCAGTAGTGCAGATACACTCCACCCAGTACCCATGCCCAACCAAAAAGCAAACTGCCTTCAATTATTTTAAGCAAATATATATTTCTTTATTTCGTAATAATCAAATTGAATAAACTATAAAAATGAGGACCTAGAATAAACTATAGAACCATACTTAACCAAATTGATTTGTACCTGAAACGTTGGGTCCAAGAATCGTCACATATATACATCACACTTATCATTCCCCATCACCTAGCGGTATGAAGGCAGGCAGTGCCCCTAACTTTGGTCGTCGACGGAAGCTAACTGGTTCCGTATCCATATCCGCGTACGTCTTCTCCTCCTCCACGGGCAGATCTTCTATGCTATCGCCATTTGGCTGGTCAACGGCAGAGGACTCGTCCTGGGTCGTCTGCTCGCCTTCGCACCTAAAGTAACGGGAACTACTGGGCTGCTCCGTGCTTGGGTTAGCAGTCGTCTGTGGAGTCTCCTGAATGCTGACAGATTTTCTCTTCGTCCTGGGCTTGGGCTTTATCAGCCGCTTTGAGGTTTGCTTGCAGAAGCGGCACTTGGCCAACTCGCAGGTGCCCTTGCGCTCCAGCTCGGGACAGGCAAACTCGTGACGCTTGTTGCACTTAAAGAAGCAAATGAGTTAATAGGATGATTGGCCGTTAGAGCAAGGCAACTTACCTCGGCAGCAAGCGAGCAATAGCCGCGCACAAAGTCAATACAGATCTCGGTATTGCGGCTGAGCTTCTTGTGCAGGTAGGGGCAGTCCTCGCGCACACAGACGCCTCGCAGATAGTAGCGGCAGACGGGCATCTTCTCCAGCGTAACATTGTGCGACAGCAGGCAGTCGGATTTGGTGCATTCGCCGCGCAGAAAGCTGAAAATGGTTAAGCAAAGTTATGTAAAGAAAGTTACCGCTGAACGCCCCCACGCGGAACAGCATCGGAGAGTCGCTCCTCGCACGGCTGTGGCACCAACCTTGGACAGATGGTGACCTGTCGCTTGTCGTGCAATTTTCGGCACTTTCCGCGACTGTGCGCCGCGCATTTACCGAGCTTCTGGTAAATGGCACACGGCACATTTGTCTTCACCAGCGACTTGTTGAGCAGCGTCAGACTGCGTTGCCTGGCGGTAATCAAGTGGGCGCGCGACACATGATTCGTGGTGCGTATGAACACGTTCTTGGTCTTGGCCGAGGCCACATAGGTCAGGCCACCGATATCGATGCGACGGAGAGTGGTCCTATTTCCATTTAGCTGGGCTGCACCACTGGCAGCTGTTGTTGATGACGATGCTGCCTCGATGGCAGCTGGCACTCTGGTTAGACGGCAGCCCGAGGGATCGATGATAAACTTGTTGCCGCTGACAAGCAGAGTGCGGCCGGACAATGTTCGCTTGACGGTCCTGGGTGTCGTACACTTGGCAACAGCTCCTGTTCGGGCATCCAGTTTGGTGAGCTTGTTCTTCGATATCTTCTTGTACATCACTCCATGTATGCTGACCATGCTCAGTGACTTGTTAACGCTGGCCTTAACCACTTGCGGCTTTGAGCTGATAGATGAGGAATAGATCGGCATGTGTACTGTGGCTGAGACGACTAAACATTGGGTCTAACCTCGGCTTTTTCGCTGTCTCCGCCTCGTTGGTACGCTGCAGGGCGTATTGGCCCACAAAGTCCCCCAGGGTGCGTCGCTTCTTAACCAGGGGCGTAAACGTTAGGGAAATGGCACGCACCAGCTTGTATTTTGTGCGCTTTGCAGGAGGTGCAGTCGTGGTTGTGGGCGTTGGCTTCACAGCTGGCTGGCGCACGATTTTCCGTTTGGATATGCTGACCAGAGGCGGCTGGGGCACAACAACAACAACGGGAGAGGGAACACGCAGCGGGGCAGCCTTAACGGGCGCCTTCCGCACTAGGCAAGTGCTGGCCTTACTTATGATCTTTGCCTGCGTCGTGCTGGCGGGAATATGTGGCGTCACCTCGGCGGCGGCCCTTTCTTGGTAGAACGGAACGCAGACCTGTTGCTGCATCTCCTGGATCCGCTCCTGACGGCGATACTCCTCGTACATAGCCTGCTGGCGTTGCAGGAAGTGCGGGTTTATATGGATGGCAGGCGGTAGCGGTGGCGGTGGCTGCGACTCTTGCTGTTGCAGGGGCTGAAACGGATGAGCAATTCGGCCTTGCAGAGCCATCTGAAAATTGGGATTAATATACACTTTGCGCGTTGCGGACGGCAGGATTTCCTCGGTGCTCAGGTGGGGCAACATTTTGCTATTCACTTATCGGTCGCTCCGTAATTGCAGTCTCTGTTAATCCTTTTAACAAACCAAATTAAACAAACGTCAAAAATATATATGGCATGCCTTTGTTACGTATTTTCGTTTCCTAGTGATGCCACTCGAACGATTGCACAAGAGTGCGATAGGCAATCGACCAGTTGGTATTTAAATACAGTTTTTGGTTTTTTTCCTCGGTATATTTATATATATGTTTTGTAACGGTCACACTGTTAACAACGTGTGTGGTTGCTGCTTTGAAAATCCTGAGCGAAATATTGACTTTTGACTGCAAAATGGGCAAAGATCGTGGCAGGGGACGCAGAAACCATCATTCCAAGCCCTATAATAAAAGTAATTGGCGTGGTCAGAAGAAGGAGCGCTCGCAGCACAATGGAAACCCACGCAACAGGTGGGAAAACCAATAGATTTGTGGTGCGTGTGGTGCGGCATAACCGGCTTCTATTCGTTTCCAGATCAGCGCCACAGCAAAAGTCCACACTGCTCGAGAACCAGGTGGGCATCACGGAATTCACCAATGCGGATGCTCCCGGATTTACGGGCATTTTGAAATCGCGCTTCTCCGATTTCCATGTCAACGAAATTGATAGCGAGGGGCACGTGCTGGAACTGAATGATTCCACCGTGCCAAAGGCAACCGTAGAGGGTGTGTATATTGGCAGTGTCATGCAAATATTCATGAATATAAATATATTTTTATGTTTATTCGAATTGCAGCTGTGGATCCAGAAAAGTTGGCTGAGTGGCGCAAGGAGCTGGAGGAGGTGACTGGGCCAGAGGTCTGGAAGGATATAGCCAGCTTGGCGCAGGCCAAATTTGATCCAAAAACTGAGCAGAAAGTAGAGATCGATGTGAGCAGCCTGGACAAAGACAAGCGGACGAAAATACATCAGTTGGTGAAGCAATTGTACACGGGCAAGCTCGTCTCCACCACATTGGGCCAGCCGCAGGAGGAGCAACAGGTGACAGTGGAGGAACCGGCAGCCATCCCAGTGGAGGAAAAGAAAACCATACGCATAATGAGACCAAAGCATGGACGCGGTAAGTGGAAGGCAATTACTCAAGAATCTTCATCAACAGAGGCAGAGTTCTCATTCCAACAGGCGACAATCGGTGGAACTTTCCTGGCGAGTATGTCACCTTCCTGGTGCACAAAACGAATATAGACACCGGAGAGGTGGCCTCCACCCTAGCCTCGCGCCTAAAGTAGGTTTCCACGCCCACGTCCCCCCATAATTAAATGTCTAATTCAGTTGCTTGACTTTTCCATAGCTTGCGACCCTCGCAGGTCAACTACTGTGGAACCAAAGACAAGCGCGCCAAGACGACGCAAAACTTCTCCATCAAACGCCGCTCGCCCGAGAGCATAATCAATGCAGCACGAGCCATACGAAATGTATTTTTCGGCAACTTTAACTTCAGATCCACGACCCTTAAGCTGGGCGATCTGCAGGGCAATCGTTTCCGCATTGCCTTGCGTCACATAGCCAAGGAGCGGCAGGCAGATATCGAGGCTTCGCTGGAGTCCCTCAAGGAGCGCGGCTTCATCAACTACTACGGCCTGCAGCGGTTCGGCAATAGTGCCAGTGTGCCAACCTACGAGGTGGGCGTGGCGCTGCTGAAGCGAGACTACAAGTTGGCCTGCGAGCTGATCCTGAAGCCCCGTGACACGGACATCGAGTTTATGCGTGCCATACGAGAGGAATGGTGGGAGAAACGCGACTCTGCGGCGGCGGCTGCAAAGTTCTATGGCGACAAGTTCATCGAGAAGAAGCTGCTGGATGGCCTGGCCAGATTTGGGGAGACCGACTATTCCTCAGCTTTGCGGCAGATACCGCGCAACATGCTGATGCTGTATCCGCATGCCTATCAGAGCCTGATCTTCAACCGCATCGCCTCGAGGAGGATCAAGGAGTTCGGCCTCAAGCTGATCCCCGGCGACTTGGTGTATGCGGAGCAGTCGGAGGCAATGGAGGAGGACAACCAGGTTGAACCGCTAGAGACTGAAGCGGCTGAGACTGACGAAGAACTTCCAGACGGTGTCGAAGAAGATGTCGATGCCGTTGCGCTGGAGGAGGAATCGGTGTTCAAGCGCAAAGTGCGAGCGCTGAGCGAGGAGGACATTGCCAGCGGCAAGTACAAGCTCTCTGATGTGGTCCTGCCCTTGCCCGGTCACGACATTACATATCCCGCCAACGAGTGCGGAGCGTGGTACGAGGAGATGATGGCCGAAGTGGGCCTCTCCTCGGAGCTGCTCAAGCACAAGGAGAAGACGTACGCCCTGGGGGGTGCCTACCGCAAAATGATCATTCAGCCGAACGACTTGAAGTGGAGTTTCAGGCGTTACAACACGCCCGAGGACACACTGATTGCCTCCGACTTTGAGCTGATGAAGGGCATTCCCATCACCGCTGAACCCTCCGAGGAGGAGGCCAAGTATCTGGCCCTCGTGCTGGAGTTCTCATTGCCCACGGCTGCCTATGCCACCATGCTGCTGCGCGAGCTTTTCAAGCAGGATACCTCGACGGCCACACAAATGCAGCTGGAGCAGGAGGCGATGACCAAGAAGGAGGAAAAGGATACTCCAATCGTGCAGGAGATTGTGGTGGAGACTGCGCCGGAGGAGACAGTGGAGCCAGAGAAGGAGGTGGCGGAGGGGCAGTAAGGTACGCCAACAGAAATCAATATGCTCAGGGAAATCAATTTTACGCGCGTTGCCCGATGCTCCCGTTATTTGTATGTAATGAAGTAACTTCGAGCCACAACCACAACAATAACAATGCGCACGTGAGAGAGAAGGGGTGTAAGTTCGTTTCCGCTGCCTCTCTCTCTCTCTCTGTATCTCTATCTCTCTCCCTCTTCCCGTGGTGCTCTGGGCGCCCAGGCACAAGGTACATTGAGCATAAGATAAAGCCCGCTGACCCACCCTTACTCTCTCTCTCATTCCGATATAGATTTGTGCCTTACCTTCTATTCAGTGTACTTTGACCAAGCAAGACCAGGACCAGGACATTCGACATTCGTTTGCTGCATTTATTCGTAAGCTGTCAGGCAAAGCGAAAGCTTTGGACGCGGCGCAGTTCTACCCCCTGTCCAACCGTCGCACGGCCCTCTGTGTGTGTAGTTTAAACAAATGCTTTCAATGCACAATTAATAATATCAAATCACAACAAAAATAAAGTTCAATTTAACCGTTACAAGTGCAGTGCAACAACAACTACCAGAGAAAGAAAAGCCCAAGGTGAATTGTTGGTTAAAATATTAGTAGAGCATTTTAGGCGCGATTTTTAAAAGTTGAATTTATTTCAATATTTAAACTAAACTTAAAGCCAAGCCAAACAACAGGAAATGGCACGCGAATGCCAAAGACTGTGAATAAACATTGAATTGAAACTGTACAATTGTGGATTGGATTGGATTTTGAGTGGCAGCTTATCGATTTTTGTTTGTGCTTTGGACTGAAATCAATCGATAATTTGGTGTTAAAACCGAATGTGCTGGAAGGAGGAGGAGGTGGCGACGGCGTCGGTGCCCTGGGCCATAGAGGAGAGGAGTAGTAGTAGTAGTAGTGTGCTTTGTCGGAGGTGCGTTTGCTGTGTGGTGTGGCGTGGAGGGGAGGGTGGAGGGGACACACACAGTAGTTAAGGGTGGTGCACAGCGACGACGACGCGCCTTCGTTCGTTTTGCTTTGGTTTTGGTTTTCGCTAATATCGCATGGTCTGCGCTCGCGGAGTCATCAAATTAATAAACTAAATGCTTGTTTTGGCGTCGTCGCGCATACCCCCTTCTGAACCCCCACCACCCCACACCACAGACTGATCCAGACATGGGGCTATTGGACATGTTATTGCTTGCGCGCGCACTCTTTGACCAGTTCCACAAACTGAACTGCGTCATAGTAGGAGTTTTTGGCGTGGTTGAATTCGATTTTTGTGTGCCCAGTACCCAGCACCCAGGACCACCCACCGAAGCAGCGAAGAGCTTAAATACAAACAAAATCTAAAGCTAATCAGTTCGTTTAGGGCTCCCTTTCTCAACTAAATAACTAAATCGTCGATTGGTTTACACTCCAAGGCACGCAGATTGCATTTGCACAAGTACGCAATGATTCGTTTTCCCGCCTTAACGCAATCTTCCTCGCCCAACCCCTCTAGCAGGACTCCGACGCGTTTCATGGTATCGGCTGGGGTTAAAGCGCGCGCTGGGGAGGAGGAAATTTGGGCACTAACACTTGCCACGGCGCCCGTGCACTGTTCGTCCATTGCCTCTTGCAGCGTATCCTCTTCGTCGTGCACCTCCTCAATAAGTGCATCCGATGGGTGGGGACTTCTGACAGCCATGCCACTTGGCTTCAGGAATCGCATTTTGGGCAGCAGGCTCCAAGTGGAGCCGACACCCTCGGCTTCTTTGGCCAATTCCTGGTGCAGTTTCGACTTGAGGTGCTCCCAACGGGTTGTGCATGTTTTGACTGCAGGGTAAGAGGGGAATCGCATTGATTTTAGGAACGCCCAGCTAGTCAGGATTGGGGCTAATTACCATCCGTTTGCAGGGATGTCGCAATGGTGCGCCACAGCTCCTCTTTGTCCTTTCTCTTCAATGCGTATGGCGTGGTGCGGATTTCACGCTCAAAGAGCTTGGGGTTGCCGCGTATTAACCTAATTAGACGAGAGTCAAAGTCGGTCATTGTCGCGTCGCCAGAAAAGGAAGCGATTTGTGGTTTGTTTTGTTTATTTTTTGTGTATATTTGTAAAAAGGCAGTGTGACCGCGAAATTATGCATGAAATATGCCGCCCCTGACTCTCAGAAATATACTGAAATATACCAACTCAGTTTCAAAATATACCGATAGTTTAATCAATAAAGTGTTGGACAGGGCTGCTTTCACACCACATTTGGTGGTGTGGTGAGTAGAATGTTTGAAAACTTTGTTTACCCCAGTCCCCCGAAATTTATTGATTTCTCCGTATTGATTGTCGTTGTCAGCAGTGCGTGCGAGGCGCTTTCGGCCTCGAGATGGCCGCCGAAAACTATCACCTGAAGTGGGACTCGCACCTGTCCTACTTGAACACTTCCATTGCCACGCTGTACAAGTGAGTAAATTAAATGAAATGAAATTAATTTACCATTAAACACTCACTGATGTACTGATTTTCGATGCAGGAATGAAAAGTTTGCCGATGTGGTGCTGTACAGCTCGTACACCAGCAGCAGCATCAACTCGGACATACCGACGGTGGGCATCTCGGCGCACAAGTTTATACTCAGCTCGTGCAGCCAGTTCTTTGCGACGATGTTCGAGACGGCGCCGATTACCTCGCCCAACGGCGTCATATACGTTGTGCTTCCGCCCGATCTGAGCCATCGGGCCATACAAATCCTGGTGCAGTACATGTACAGCGGCGAGGCCACCGTCTCCAATGACATCCTCAATGAGGTGCTGCGGGGCGGCGAGATTCTCAAGATCCGTGGCCTCTGCCGCTCCAGCGCTTCCAACAACAGCAGCACCACAGTCACGTCCTCGCACTCGCACTCCCACTCGCACCACCATCCGCATGGCGGACATCTGCATCAGCGGGAGTCGTCGGCGAGCGCCATGTATGTGTCGAATGGATCGCGCTCGACGCTGCCACCGCCGCCCATGTCCACACAGCTGCCTGGCGGCGACCTATACAGCAGCAAGCCGAGCAGCAGCAGCAGTGGCTCCGGCAGATATACCATCAAGTCTCCCACCCTGCCACCGCCGCCAACGAACTCCACAACCCTCCTGGGATGGCCGCATCAGCATCATAATCATCATCATCCCCATCAGCAGCAGCAGCACCAGCAGCAGCAATTCCGTGGCCTCGGCGCTTCCGTAATGCCAAAGGACAGTCCCGTAATTGTCAAGTCACCAAAAATGGCCGCCCACACGGGTCTGCTGAGCGTGGCGAGCAGCAGCAAGCTGGGCATATCCGTGAACAAGGAGGTGGCCATCGATCCCGAGGATAAGTGCTGCTATGCAGCCGCCAGCAGTCAAGTGGAGCCACAGCCGCCGCCGCCATCATCGACGACCGCCGGAGCAGTAGCCGGAGGAGGAGTTGGAGTTGGAGGAGTTCCGCCACCGCCAGCCATGTCCATATGCACAGAAGTGGGCTGCAGCAGCTGTCCCCTGACCGTGGGCACTGCCACCGAGCCGGCGGAGACTACGCTGCGTCGGCCAGAGTACGAGGAGCAGGCGCTCTGTGATCGGGAGGATGTGGGTCTGGTGTACGAGCGTCGGCTGCGTCGTGAGAGTGCCTGCGAGCGAGGTGAGTGCGCCGGATGCGGCCGGATCTCATAGGTGCTATGAGAATAATTCGATTGTGCTCCATTCCTACTCCCACAGCTCACGAGTACTACGAGGCACCGCTGCACTTTGCCACACCACCGCCAGCGCCGCATCCGCACAGCTTTCTCAGCATCAAGCAGGAGCCCAGCGACTGGTCCAACAACCCACCAACAGCGGCCAATGCCAGCAACAACAATCACGACGAGGGGGAGCAGCTGTCGCCCAAGCAGCCGCTGGACTTTAAGATGAGCGCCGTTAAGCTGGAGCTGAACCGCGACCGGGCCACGCCGCACGAGGAGTCCGAGGAGCACACGCTGCGCGACTACAACAACTTCAAGCAGCTGCAGCTGCTCGTGTGCGAGATATGCCAGAAGTCATTTGAGGACACCAAGACCCTCGTCCGTCACCTGGGCACACACGCCAACGAGCCGGGATCTGGCACCAATCACATGGCGGCCACTGCCAGCGGCAGTGCATCGACCACTTCCAGCAACACAAATCTCGCGATGCGAGCCCTCAAGACCTATGTGCCAAAGAAGCGACGCAGAGTATCGGTGAGTCTTGTGGGCGGTTCGTCCAGCTCGTTCAGTTGATTGATTTATCCGTTTGCAGCAACAGGAGAATAATATGGATCATGATCATGTCACGCTGCTCTGTGATTTGTGCGCCACGTAAGCGAAGTCCATCTATTAAAATATTGAGAAATTAATGTTGTTGCATTGCCCGGCAGATCCTTTGAAACGCCTGCGGAGTGGGTGCGTCATATGAACAGCCAGCACACGGAAATCGAGCTGGCCATGTTCAACAGCAAGAAGGACGGCGAGCAGAAGGGGTGTGTGTCCTAAAGCCCTGCCCCTCCTTCCCAAAAAAAAAAGCTCCGAGCAAATGATGAACTCTGTTCACTTGCAGCCAGCAGCAGCAGCAACACCCACAGCAGCAGCCGCAGCAGCAGCAGCAGCAGATCCCCAACAGTAGTACCACCAACAGTAGCAGCAGCATCGGTGGTAGCAGCTCTTCCACAGTGTCCACCAGCCAAATGCAGCCAAAGTTCCATTCCAGCTCCAATCGAACGACCCAATCTCAAATCCAGCCACTGATTCTGAACAAAAGGAGCAACGTTGTGGCCACAGCTGTTGCGGCCTCACCTACTGGCCTGTCCTCATCGCATGGCTAAGGCCCCGCCAACACCATCGAATGGCAGGCAGATGGGCTGAATCCTTCTTCATCAAAATACCATTTTGTTCGATAAATTCAAGTCGTTCCAGTAATCAAAAGGGATAAAATATGTATAATGAAACAGCAAGAACCGTGATCAAAATGCAACAAGTTTGCATATTTTGTAGAGCAACAAACAAAATACAAAAAAAAAACCAACAAAAAAATAACAAACGAAACTATTAACGAAACTTAAAAATCGGAAATCGTCAGGCAACGATGCAAAACAAAAACAAAACAAAAAAACATCAAAACAATTGCAAAACGAAAATGAATATTAAAAACTGTAACTGTAATTCAAATGAGTAGAACTTTTTTTAGCGTGTATTGTATGTATTTGTGTACCGTACTTAGTTTAAGCAACTAAACTTATTCCCACAGTAAAGTAAAGTAAAGTAACAACAAAACAAGCAGAATAAGAAGGATGATGTAATTACAATAAGAACAACGCGCAATCGATAAGAACGATGAGATGAGAAACGATTCAACAATCGAACAATTTTTAAATTTAAACTTAAACTTGAATGTTTTTTAAAAGCAGATTAACTTGTAAGCCCTTCAATGTGATTCAAAAGAAAAGTCAGAAAAGCTTTTTGTCCGTCTGTTAAGTGTATGGGAAAAGGAATTGTATTCCTTTGGATTATATCCCACAATTATTTCTCCATGAATCCCCGCCAATAGAAAGCAATAGAAATAATTGAATGTGAATCGGTTCAAGGGCTTTCAAATCAGGCTTCGGACACACCGAAGCGAACCGAACCGAATAAATAATTATTCTTTTATTTATTCGTATTATTTTTTTAACATGCACACCACACACACACCACACACACACACTGACAACTGATTAAACTACAGTAATATTTTTTTATGCAGCAGCAATATTTGTTAAATATGTATGTATGTACATGAGTATGTTTGTATTTTTTGTATATTTTTTATATGACTTCAGACAGGAATTTTCGTGAATTTGTGTAAATAGGATAAGTTCCAATTTTAAATGAGGATACAGATACCAACCAAAATGTCTCTAAATGTGTGTATCTGTGTGTAGTACCAGTTGGTAAGTTCACTTAACCGAAACAAAACTCGAAAACTCTCCCCCCCCAATCTATGTAAAACTGTAAAGATATACACATGAATATGAATATATTGTATGTGTAGTATATATATATATATATATATATATATTGAAAAGCCGGGCGTGATTATTAATCAAATAAGTAGAGATGTATGAACATTGATGATATGTAGCAAAAGCGTTTTAATCGCAATATATAATAAACGAGGACAATGAGAAATCGGTTCTACATATACGTACGTACTACGTATGGAAAGAGCCAGAACTACGGCCATGGATTTCGTAAGAGTCATCGTCTTCAGGAAAAAAGCTCCCACTCATCGCAGCGCAAAGCTTTATAAATACAGAGCGACAGCAAAGAGAAACTTCAGTTGTCCCAGCAAATCCGGTTGGTTGGTTGGGTTACCTTTAGTATCAACATAAAATATTAATTGCAATTTTTCCATTAATTTCCCTCTTCAAAACAAAACCATAATGAGTTCTGGTAAACACTACGCCAAAGGTAAGAGAGGAGAGTAGAGAAGAAGAGCCAGTGGGCTGCTATTTCACCATAACATATAAACAAAACAAAACAATTAAATTCTCCACTAATTGCTCTTCTTTGCGAGCGACGAGACTGACTGATTAAGAGAATACATACAATGAGGTGGCAGTCTTAAAGTTATAGCAAAACAAGTGGGAATGCCATAGCTGATATTGCTATTTCTGTCTGTCTACATGATCGATATCTGTGCAAAGAGTAAGCCGGTATTTACTCCAGGGTTATGTCTGGGGGGTAAACAACTGGAAAACCAAACGAAACCTGTTCCATTTGGGATGTGCTGAGACAGGCTTACCAGACCAGGCTTATGTGAATCTAAATCGTGGCATATACCAATGGCAGTCTAGAATCTAACTTCATAATGTACCTTCCATCCTAAAATGCTGCGAATACTTAGACAGAAAGGAATAAGGCTTGACAGGGTTTCCACAACTGGAGAATACATTTCTATAGAGCCTATAGTATAGATAGACAACGACTGAGAGTGAACTTAATCACTAAATAATTGGAAGCTCACGATATTGTTTTGAACATTCCCCCCCTGGGAATACCACAGACTACATACGTATATCCCTCATAGATAAGATTTGTAGGTACAGAAAATGTTTTTCATTCTGTGGTACCTCGTTCATATCTTTATCAACTATGTGACTTGCTATTTAGCCGCAACATTTATTGATATTATGATCCACTGATTGGTTGAATGATTTGCGCATTTTTAGGTTCCTCGAAACCAGTTCTGCCCGACGATGGACAACTGCGTCTGTTTTCGATGCGCTTCTGCCCGTATGCAGAGCGCGCCCACCTTGTGCTAAATGCCAAGAAGGTGCCGCATCATACCATCTACATCAATCTCACCGAGAAGCCCGAATGGCTGGTGGATGTGAGTCCGCTGCTGAAGGTGCCTGCCCTGCAGCTACCGGCGGAGAAGGGACAGCCCTCGCTCATCGAGTCGCTGGTCATTGCCGAGTATCTGGATGAGAAGTATCCGCAGAATCCGCTCCTGCCCAAGGATCCGCTGAAGAAGGCCCAGGACAAGATTCTGGTGGAGCGCTTCAGCGGCGTCACCGGCGCCTTCATGAAGATCCTCACGCAGGGCACTGGCCTCGATGACTACTGGCTGGCCCTGGACATCTTCGAGGAGGAGCTGGCCAAGCGGGGCACACCCTTTTTCGGCGGCAACAAGCCTGGCTACGTGGACTACATGATTTGGCCCTGGCTGGAGCGTCTGGCTGTGATTGGCTTATACCTGAAGGACGAGTACAACTTTGATGTGAAACGCTTTGCCAGGATCGCCAAGCTGATTGAATTGCTCAAAGCGGACGATGTGGTTAAGTCCTTCTATGCCACGCCCGAGCAGCACATTGAGTTCTGGCAGAGCCGCAAAGCGGGCAACGCCAACTACGATCTGCTGGCCTAGATCTCAATGCTCGATGCTCGCTGCTCGATTTTATAGTTTTTTTAGTTTTACTTTTGTGTGCAATTTCTGATTTTGATTCTGATTGCGAGAGATGAATAAAGTTTGAAAAGAACAGAGAGGTTCCACTGTACACTGTGCTATGTGTGTCAGCCGCAAAGGTTGACACAGCCGCCAAGTTCAGCCGGGTGGGTGGGTAATGGTAGCCGCCCAGCCAAGGACGCGTCGCTGTTGCTCTTTATATATTTGGTCGACTCGGTTGCTGATTTGCATCACTTGCATCGCCGTAGAGGAGCAGAGCAGAGCAGATCAGATCAGACCACACGCATCATGAGCAACGGCAGACACTTGGCTAAAGGTGGGTACAGCTGCTCGATCCGTTCGTGTTCCCCAATGTCTCAACGCAGGAATCCGAATCCGCAATTGTAGGCTCGCCCACGCCGGATGTGCCCGAGGATGGGATACTGCGGCTTTACTCCATGCGCTTCTGTCCGTTCGCCCAGCGTGTCCATTTGGTGCTGGATGCCAAACAGATACCCTACCACAGCATTTACATAAATCTCACAGAGAAACCAGACTGGCTGCTCGACAAGAATCCGCAGGGCAAGGTGCCCGCACTGGAGCTGGTGCGCGAGCCGGGTCCACCGGTGCTGACCGAATCGCTGCTCATCTGCGAGTACCTGGACGAGCAGTATCCGCTGCGGCCGCTCTACCCGCGAGATCCACTGAAGAAGGTGCAGGAGAGGCTGCTCATCGAGCGCTTCAACTCGGTCCTGGGCGCCTTCTTTAGGGCATCGGATGGCGGCGATCTGGAGCCCTTCTGGTGTGGCCTGGATACCTATGAGAAGGAGCTGAGCCGCCGTTGCACGGACTTCTTTGGTGGCGAACAAACGGGCATTCTGGACTACATGATATGGCCGTGGTGCGAGCGCTTGGAGTTGCTCAAGCTGCAGCGTGGCGATGACTACAATTTCGATGAGCGGCGCTTCCCGCAGCTGGTGAGTGCCCTTTGGCTGAATCTTTCTTGATCAATTGTTAATCTGTAATCCATTCAGTCGCAATGGGTGGAGCGCATGAAGCGGGATATGGCTGTGATGGCCTTCTACATGGAGGCGGAAGTGCAGGCAGAATTCCTGCGCACACGCAGCGCCGGCAAACCCAACTACAATCTGCTGGTCAAGGAGGTCTAATTGAATGCAGTATATTTGATTTTAGCTTGGAATGAATAAAGCACAGACGCAGGAGGCCCGTTAAGCCCTAAAAGCTATGTCGTACTGCGGCTTGCCCAGTCGCTTTGAGCCCTGAAACTCTGCGTGCACTTGGGCAGGCAGAGCGGTCTTCCGAACAGCCTCATCCTGAGCCACCAGATCACGCCACTTGAGCTGCAATGAGAGCATTAGAAAGGGCCACACATTCAGTTGGCTGGGAAGAGCTTACCAAGAGACCAAAGCGCTGGGCATCCAGCTCATACTTCTGTTCCGTGGTCAGCTTTAGGCTGGGAAAGCGCTCGAACCAGGGCCAGATCATGTAGTCCACAATGCCAATTGTCTGTCCAGCAAAGTAGGGACTTCCTCGCTTGGCCAGCTCTTGCTCGAACACATCCAAGGCAGTTTCAAAGTTCGTGAGGGCATTTTTGGGAGCATTGGGATTGCAGGTGAGCACTGGATACACGGCACTGACCACCGGGGCAAAGCGTTCAATCAGAATCTTGTCCTGTGCCTTTTGCAGCGGTTCAGTGGGATAGAGCCGCAACTCGGGATACTGCTCATCCAGATATTCGGCAATGATGAGCGATTCCACAAGTGTGGGCTGCTCCTTGACATCCGGCAGCTGCAGGGCGGGCACCTTGCCCAGGGGACTGCAGTCCTTGTACCATTCGGGCTTGTCAATCAAATCGATGTAGATTTTGTGATGGGGAATTGCCTTGGCGTCGAGAATGAGGTGTACCCGCTGGCTGAAGGGACAGAATCTCATCGAGTAGACACGCAACACCCCATCCTCGGGCAGCTGCGGTTTGCTGGAGCCTGCAAGAATAATCAGAGTTTGGTTAGTTCGCGCGGAAGTCTGATGATAACAGCCCAAGTGGTCGGTTGAATGCCCTCGAAGATAAACGAGTATTTACGAGTACATATGCTTGTGTGTATATTTAATGTTAATGATTCAGAATCCAACTTGAAGCCACTCCCATATTAATCTCTCTCTTACAAGCTACTTCCCGTCGGAACTTCCTTCACAAGGGCTCGAATGCCAAGTCGTAGTTGGTCTTGCCCTCGTGACGGGTGCGCATAAACTTGGCATGCACTTTGGCATCCAGTGCAGTCGCCTTGACAGCCTCGTCCTGAGCCACCAGGAGGCGCCAATTCAACAGATTCGGATAGCGCTTTGAGTCCAGCTCGTATGGCTCGGCCAGCGTGTACTTGAGGGCGGGGAACCGCTCGAACCACGGCCAGATCATGTAATCCACAATGCCAATTTGATCGCCGCCAAAGTAGGGCGTTCCGCGCTTGGTGATCTCCACCTCGAACACATCCAAAGCGGTCTCAAAGTTCTTCAGTGCATCCTCGGGTGGGTTTGTGGTGAAGAACACCGGATAGATGGCACTGACAGCGGGCGACAGTCGCTCAATGAGGATCCTGTCCAGGGCCTTTTGCAGCGGATCCTTGGGAAAGAGGGAGCGCACTCCTGCAAACTCCTCATCCAGGTACTCGGCAATCACCAGAGACTCCACCAGCGTCGGCTGGCCCGGCAGGTGGGGCAACTGGATGGCCGGCACCTTGCCCAGAGGACTGTAGTCGGTGTACCACTCGGGCTTCTCGCTCAAATCAATATAAACCGTGTGATGGGGGATCTTCTTGGCGGCCAGGATCAGGTGGGCGCGCTGCGAGTAGGGGCAGAAGCGCATGGTGTAGTAGCGCAGGACGCCATCCTCTGGAATATCCGGTTTGGGCGTACCTGTTGATGATGTGGAGTGTATTGGCACTGACGTCATACGGCAAATATCTGTCTATAATTAATCTCTATCTGCCAGAGCGGTGCAGTTTGTGGTTGCCTCTCTTAATATTATTGCGATGCAGATAAAACTACGATAACAAAATCCATTTTCCACTAAAATGGCGCACCGCACAGCCTCAAGTGCGTGCGAAATGACCTTGAACTAACCTTTCTTAAAGTGCTTTTGCGGTATGGACATGTTTAAGTTTTTAATAAAGTTCTTTAAACGCGAAATTCTGACTTCTTGTGGCTGCGGCTGCGACGTGAATGCGCTATCACACTTTAATATGGTGGCGGAACCGATATACTTATCGATAACAGTACAATTCAAATTAATATTTTAATATAATTTTCCAGACTATTTACAATATCTGTATTATCACTGATTTCGTTCCAGCAAAGTTAAAAAAAAAACAATAAATTTTGTATAAGGTTTTACTCCCGTCTTGCACGCTTGGCGGCATGGCTAAGAGAGAGAAAAAGAGAAAATCTTAGTTGGATATGTTTTGGGATTGAGCATAGAAACCTACTAGAGCATGTTATAATCTGCATTGCCAGCACGACGGGAGCTCATGTATTTGGCATGAGTCTCCCCATCCAGATAGAAACTCTTCACGGCCTTATCCTGCAGCATCAAGTCGCGCCACTTAAGCTGCAAAATATATACATTTTTATATTGACCAATTAGGTGTGTCCCCGCAGTTCACTCACTAGTGTCACAAAGCGCTGTGCATCCAACTCAACTTGGGTGCCGTCGTCGTGTTTCAGGGAAGCAAAACGCTCGCACCATGGCCAAATCATGTAGTCTAGCATGCCCGGCTTGGAGCCGCCAAAGAATCTGCTACCACGCTTCTTTAGCTCATTCTCGTAAATGTCCAACCCGGTGTTGAGGTCGGCCAGGTCCAGATCGGGATTGTCGTCAAGCAACAGCTTGTAAATGGCTGTGATGAACTGGCCAAAACGCTGAATGAGTATCTTGTCCTGGGCCTTCTTCAACGGGTCTGTCGGGTAGAGCGACACTTCTGGGTACACCTCATCCAGGTAATCGCATATGACTAGAGATTCGATTAGAACTGGATTGCCGCTCTCCTTGACTAGTTCCAGTGCCGGCACCTTGGCTGTGCTGCTCATCTGGACAAACCAGTCGGGCTTGGCTTGCAGATTAATATAGATGCTGTGATATGGTATGTTCTTGGCATCGAGCACGAGATGCACCCGGTGTGCATAGGGACAAAAGCGCATCGAGTACAAGCGCAGTACGCCATCGTCGGGATAGATGGGCTTGTTGGAGCCTGCAAGGGGGTGGATTGTGAAAATGTATTCAAAAAGGCTGGCCCTCCACACATACCAGTAGTGAAATGCTCAGTTTCGCTCATTTTTACCCGTTTAGATTTTATCTCTTTTTTGTTTTGTATGTCTCTGATAATATTATCGATTACTATTACTCGACTATATGATAGTTTGACGACTGCTCTGTATTTCGGTATTTTTTATGGTATTTTTCGACTTGGTCACTTTATTTGTTCGTGACCAAATCGTGGTGGTTTTTCAAAATTTGCTCTCTTAATCGATGTGAAGAGAGTGCTTTAGTGGTGACTTTCCCCTCTTTTTCGAGGTGGGAGCCACATGTTCCTAACGGGAACGTAGATTTATTGTTGCGACGTTCTTTGTGTGGGAAAAATTCCAGCAAACTGGGGGAAATGAATTGGCAGCATTGTTGTGCAACTTTGGCACGAAATGAGCAACAATCTACATACCTTGGGAAAATGAATATTATAGAATAGAGATATTGTTTGTAATTTCAGTTGAAAAGCAACAATGACGTCACATTTCGTACACACTTACGTTTTATGCTTTGGCCGTTTTTGTTTAAACGTTATTATGTAAACAATCCAATGAAAAGGAGTTCTGAAAACCAGCCAATCCTGAACAAAATTTATTGAGGAATTGGATAAAATTATGTTTGTATGGCTGAGGGTCCTAGCTAGCTACTTATATTAAATCGAATATCGAAATCGGGGAATATGATTTTTTTCGTCGGCGTCTCTTTCGGAATTTACATAAATATGTAATTAATATGTTGCAATTGTGTAGTTAGCGTGTAGTTACCATGTAAAGTATCAACTTTGCCATCAAAAGAGAATTAATTAAACCATATTTTATGAATAATCAAATAGAACTGGGTATCTAAAATAAGCGAATCTTTTAGGAAATTAATCAATTTATGGTACAAAATTATATGATCAGTGCTGAGGGCTCCAGTAATTAGTATTTTACTAATCCGAAAATCAAAATCGGGGAAATGCATCCTCTTGGACCCATTTCTTCGGTATATTTACGGTATATTCTGAAAATGATGAGGTATATATCCATAGATCCACGGTCACACTGACTTACTTTGCGGATTTTGTGTTGGCGGTGCGTGCAAAAGTGAAAATGTTATATGTTTAAATATGCTTAAATCAATCGAGTTCTCAAGATGATTACAGTTAACCAGCACCTTGCGTAACTGTGCACGTGTGTGTGCGGCTGTGTGAGCGGCGTCTAGTCTCTGTGCAAGTCGGTCGGGGCTAAGTTTTTACCGCTGGCCTCGCGCCTCCTCGCCGCTGAAAAGTTGCTCTTTTGGTAGATTTTCTGTGTTAATCTGGGATTGTTGCAACGTAATTGAGATTCGGCGTTATCTCGCCAGTACGTATACTATACTACATCCGTCAACCCGCCGTCCCCGGCAGTGTGGGATCGGATCGAAGTTAATCATTGTGCAGCATCGGCCCTTCACTATCACTGCTCTGCTGCGCGCATCTCTGCAGCTCTTGGAATTGATAAATATGTATGTGATGTGTTAAACAGTTCAATAAATAAACGTGTGTAAGTGTCTCAATATTTTCCTAATTAAAGATTATTTAGTTTAGTTCAGTGTGTCCCAGTGCATTGGAAATGCATGCGACGGGCCCCCTCATCTGCGCTCCTCCTTGCCCACCCATTCATAGTGTATTTATAGCTGCCGCCTTCCTTCCATGTGCGAGTTTTAAGTCTTCTTCTTGCGATTTGGACACCCGCTCCTCACTAACATATGTATCATACTTGAGTGCGAGAGTGATACATACATATGTATGTATTCGGCACGTTTTTATGCTATTTTGGTATATATTTTATATATACATTTAAAAGTGCCATTTTCATTTCCATTTTTCTTGCTATCATTAAAGCCTAATTACGCAAAATGATTTTGGTAAAATACGCGATAGAATGCTTATCGACAATGACCCATATACTATCAACATGTGTTTTGCTCCACATACGTTTTCAGTCTGTTATTTTAAGACGTGTTGGCGGACGCGATGTCGATGGCTATGTAGGTGGTGTGCAATGTGATTCATAGATGGGAGAGATGGAGAATGTATAGCTGCTGTCCACCGATGATGGTTCCTTATCACACCCACAGAGTATTCTATGGCCAGCTGGTAACAAACTCTCAATTGTTCAGAGAGAAATCAATTATTCATGGAGGTACAATATCAAAACGCCTTCCGACTCGCCACCGTCACTAGAGGAATCCAACAAAAGCGCCAGTAAACACTACAATAGTTTACTGTTTACTCAACAATTCTATATGATATGATATGATACATACATACAATATAGTATCTATATCAATGAATTATTTATCACATTTGGCGGGCCCTTCAACATCAGTTATGTGTCAACCCGGCTCTCTGGTTGTACCTGTAGCATATTAAAATGCGCAACTCGCGTAGTTTAGCAGTCGGCCAACGAGCAACGGCGCAAGGTCAGAGCCAGACCCAGAGCCTCGTCCCAACCAGATCCGTTCCGTTCCCATCCAGACGCTCATTATACATATATTTAGACGTGATCGACCTCTGCAAAGTCATACTTTGATAAGCTATTCTAATTACATACCCAGAACTCCGCAATAAAATCATGACCCTCGCCTGGCTGTTAAAAAGCTCCAAAGCCAGGAGCTTTTGGACAATGATTTTTCGTTTTTGTACCGCAAGAAAAGATAATATATTTCTCGGTAAATAAAGGTACCAGTACGCGTACATGTGTGCGTGTTTGTTTGCTGCTTACCTGTGGGGTTCTCGATATGAAATTCTTGAATTTTCTGAAAAAGATATGCTGGCCAAAGGTACAGCTGAAGATAAAAGGTGTTTGTATAATAAGTGTACGTTCTTCGCAGGTAGCGGCGAAGTTTATTTCATTCTGTCTGCCTCGCTATCTTTTCGTGGCGTTGTCTGTGTGAAATTTCAGCTTGCGAGATCTGCCGGCAGATGGATTACGTCAGGGTTTGTTGTACACTCATGACAGTGGAGGGTTTTAGCGAATGAAATTTCAGTTTGCAAAAGGTAGATATGTACATTAGTATGTAAATTGGTATATGGTGAAATTCTATTGTTAGAACTAAGTGTAAATTGGAGATATCATGCAATATGTAATTAGATGAGTCAGCGCATGGCTTGCAGAAAGCCAAAAACAGCTGCGGAATTTGTTATAATTGGTTTGTGTGTGTGTGTGTGTGGTGAAATTTCAGTTCTGAAGGCGGATATCGCTGTGAAAAATCGATTCGCATGAGTCAGCAACAAGTTGGAAAGTTTCCAGACTAAATAGAAGCTTCAAAAATCCACAAAATCATTCTTTAAAAAGGGAACTTTAGACCAACTAAAATTTGACGAGTTAGCACAAACCTGTGTACATAATTATAAAATGGGAGATACCATGCGAAATTAATATCTTTCGATTTAGCAAAAAACCTTCCAACGTGCAAAGAACTCTAAGGAATGCCTTGTTTTTAAGTTTTTGCAATGGAGATATCTTGCGAAATTTGATTTCGCTGACTCAGTAATGGCTTCCAAGAAATCCCAACCAAATTGAGGATAACAAACATAAATTTCCACTTATAATGTGGAGATATCAAGCGAAATATAATTTGTTGAGTGCGCACCCAGCTTTCATACATACATACAACTTTGCTATTAAGTTTCAGCTTATAATATGGAGATATCATGCGAAGCTCCATTTCGCTGTGTAAGGCATACAGAGGGCAATGGCTTCCAGAGTACAGAAAGGGGTTCTTTGGTTGTGTTTTTAGTGAAGTTTCAAATTATCCAATGGAGATGTCATGTGCAGGTTTTTTTTTGTGGACTCAGCAGAAAGTTGTATGACTTTTGGACTAAAACAAGATAAGCTTTAAAATAAACATATTCGCTGTGAAGATGTCGTACAGAAGTTTCGACTAAGCTGGTTTTCAATGGGAAGGAATTTGTTTCGCTGTACAAAATTAACCATAAACAACCGGCATACATTTGATCGAAAATGCGGAAATTATCAAGTGGTTTTAACACGATTGTAAGAAGGAATATTTGAATAATGTCTCGCACTTACTTTTCTACGAGTCCTCCATTGGAATAATGTCCTGGCTATAAAAAAATAAACTTAAAATTCGGTGAAATTTAAAAATGAGTCTGAAATTTTACTCTCTTTATGGGTATTTTATTATTGAATTCTATAAATGTTTTTGAAAGATTTCGAAAATCTTAAACATGCCAAGAAAACTATGTGTACATTTAGCATTCTAGTCTAGTAAATCCCAATATTAAGTACAAAGTATAGATTAAATTAAGACTACGGCTTTAAAAGTGTCGGATTTTGTTTTTACTAATAAAAGCATTAACCTATCGACATTTTCCATCAATTAATTTAGATTATTATTATTATTAAGATTAATTCCAGCGTGCAATAATCCATCCACAGCTTGGTCCAAACTTGGAGTACTTTGAGGTATCCAATCGACTCTGAATGTTCTCTTTTTCTTTTTTTTGCTGCGCGTTAGCCATGGTCCGAAATCAGCCACGCCTCCTCCGTAACCATATAGTATTGCACGCCTCCCTCCGATCATGGGCATGCTTTAATGTGTGTGGGGAGGCCCCCCCCGCACTACACACCGCAACACATTTATGGCCACAATTGAAACTGGGCTTATAAATCGCACGGAAAGTGAGGCGCGCTGCTCAGTTGGCGGTTCGGCTCGGTTCGGTGCGGTTCGGTTTGGATCGGGTTCAGTGTCTTCAATATTGAGTGCTATAATAGGTATACATATGTGCATGTGTATGTACTCGAAGCTATTAGAATATCTCTTTACTTAACTGTATGTACTATCAATCTGCAGCTGTGTGTGAGTGCTGTCTGCTTGGGCGCATGCGTGCCAGACAGACACAGAAAGAAAGTGAATTTAATTGCTGAATTTATTGTCACAAACGAATGAAACAGAAATCCCACCCTCCCCGCTCCACAATTATATCAGACATTGAGTGAGAAATAAAACCGCGCGTCCCAGCCATTTGCAGTTTTTCTCTCAGTGATTTTATTTAAAATAAAATCACGCGAACTGAATTCAAATGAGGCTTGATTACAAACAGATATCGCAAAAAAAACAACAAAATACATGCAATGAAAGAAATACAGTCACAAATAACAAAACAAATCAGTCAATGCCGGCGGTGGCGGCGGGGCACCAATTGATTGACTGCAGGGATTGATTGGGAGGCGGAATTGTGGGGTCAGATTTTTGGGCTGCGAACGCAATTCTGGTGCTGTGATATACCAACGGGAATGTCAGCATCGGGTGCAGATTTTGGAAGAGTTTTGCATACGCTTTTGATTGATTGATTTTTATTGAAACGAAATTAACTGGCAACAAAGATCCATAAAGTAACGACCAGTCAAAGGACAGACAGAAACAAGGAAAACTTTGCCTCACATCGACGAAAATTTGATCAACTTTAATTGAAGAGACTTTAATTCTCGTTTGCTCAACAAGTGAGTGCCGCTGGTTGGCTCTTTAAGTGAACTCGCAACCTTTTGAACTTCCCCTACGCCACTGCCTTGATCCTGCGAAAACTTCAGGGCCAGCGCGTGTCCTTGTCAATGCCGAATGTGCAATGCAAGGGCCTCGCCGCCCACTTCCTGTGTGACCTTGACGTGCCTTATGCAACAACAGTGACGTGTGGCTTGGCTTTCCCTTTTTATTAAGTCGATAGTCGGGCAGGCAGCAGGCAGGCCGGCACCCAGGCACCCACCACCTGGCCACCCACGTGTTTCCGTTTGCCACACCTCCCCCACAACCACCCCCACCCCTTCTCCGCCTGTCTTGTGTCGTAAATATTCGCCCAAGTTTTATCAATAAATTGGATAGCAATGCAGGAACTGTCGTGGAGCTTGCGGCATTAATGCGCAATTGCAAAAAAATTGTTCGAGGTCTGCCTGTGCCCCCGCATGAAAAGTCTAATAACAGCAGCAGCAGCAGCAGCAACAACAAGTTGTTACATTAACAGAGCAATTTTCAGTGGTTTTTGTTTTGGGGAAAATTTTAAAAGTCTCGCTTTTGGCGCGTGCCCGTCATTTGAGGTCTGCTTATTGAGGCGACCGCATGGCATCGGTGACGTTTGCAGTACGCAGCGCAACGAGCAGACACCAGACCAGAAGCACACTTGATAAAGAAATTGATAATAAAAGTGGAGGAGTGGGGATAGAGGAGTGTACTTTATGTAATTCCAATCAAAAACGATGGGACATCTCCGCTGTTATCACAAATAAATGTTCAAACAATTAAAGTTGAGGCTTGAAGAGCACTGACTGGAAAATGTATGAGGAAAGCCAAGTTAAATATTCTGCAAGTGAGAGGGAAAAAGAGTACCAAAGCCAGTGCCAAATGTCCCAATGGAAGTGATTTGGTTGGCTCTTAAAGTGCTTCAAACTTAAAGATATTTAACTAGATCTTTGGGCACAAAAACCATAATCGTTTTCGTTTGATATAATCCAGATTGATGTGGTTTCCTGTCACCCAAAGTGACAAAGTTCCAAGTTAAAGATCAGTGATTGATGTGCTGCTGCCGTCCTATCCTCCCTATCTCTCTCTCGCCATCTACTACAGAATGCATTGGAATGATTCCCGTTTATGGACAATGTTTTGAGCACCACCTGAAACTTGGGCGGGCGGTCTGCTGCTGTCTGCTGCTGTCTGCTGTCTGTTTTTATCGAGCTTTTTCCCATATTTGGAGGTGTCGATCCACAACCACATCCACGTCCACATCCACGTCCACGTCTCTCGTTCGTGGCTGCCAAACGAACTTGAACTTCCGCTTTGGTTGGCTGACTATTTTGGTTATGCAATGGGCCACCAAATGGGGCATCACGAATGGGTTTGGGTGTATTGTAAGTGGTCTGGTCTCTGGTCTCTGCTCTCCGATCGGGCTTAATGAGTGTGGGATGGGATAACGAGCTAACGATTAGAGTACAATCCCCACCCCCTCCCCCTCCCCCCATAGAATCTACATGTAAACAGTTCGATTTTTGTGTTGGTTGTTCTGATGTGTTTTTTCATTGACTAATCCCTCCCTACTCTGTTCCATTGCAGATCCAAACTCAGAACTGAGCCCGTGAATTGATGATTGACTGATTGATTGATCAACTGACTGAATATATCTAATGATTGCTGGGCAGTAAACCGCAACAGCCGAAAACGAATCAGCATCAGAATCATCCGCAACTATATTGAGCATTTGTTCGTTTGAGCCAGAGAGAAGAACAAGAAGAAGAAGCAGAAGAAGAAGGGGAATAAGCGGCCGAGAAGATGGCGCGTCACATAATGGCCGTTTGTGTGGTCTGCCTCCTGTGTGCCCATCGCCTGCACTGCCAGGATCATGTGGAGAGCCTGCTCGCAGGCGCCACCGTGCGGCACAGCCAGGAGCAGCTAAATGCGCGCGTCTACACCAGTCTCTCCAGTCCCTCCAGTGAAACCACCGATCAGAGACAGCAACTAGCTATCGACGATACCCAGAATTACAGCACAAGTCCGCCCTCGAGAAGAGACAAGCGGCATGCGGAGCATGGCCCCAGCCATGGCCATGGCCATTCCGAGCCACATGTCCCGCAGCTCACCAAGTACTTTCTCGACAAGCTGATGGCCGAGCAGGAGGCGATGGACAGCAGTGGCTTCAACAGTTTCCTGCAGCAGATAAACCTGCCCTCGATGGTCTCCAGCGAGGGAACCGTAAGTCAAGCATGAACTCTTTATTTGTGGATGCCACCATTAATTTCTCCTCCCCTCCTTTACGCAGTGCGTGCCTGCTAGTCGCCTGGTGCAACATGTCCAGCCCCACGATCTCTCCCATCACAGTCACAGCCACAGCCATAGCGAGGAGTCGGAAGGAGAGGAGCTCCAGCTAAAGAACTGCACCCTGGGCAACAATGGCACCAACTCCAACATTGTATGCCCACCCCTGCTGCCACACAACAGCAGCAGCAGCAGCTCCCAACATATGCCAGAGGAACCCGCAAACTATACACTCAGCGAACGAGATATGCTCCATCTGTGTCCTGTGCTGCTGCACGAACTGAGGGCACAGACCGGAGGCTGCATAGAGCTGGATGTGCTGGACGAGATCGATAGCACGGAGAAGTTGCTGGTCGGGGAAAAGGATATGTTCTACGGTGCGTTAAATCTGCTGTCTACTGTCTGCTGTCTGTTTTGCTTATTTCTTTGAATTTCCATTTGCAGTGTGGGTCTATGCCTTCATTTCGGTGTTTGCCTGCGGCATCCTCGGCCTGGTCGGGGTGGCCATCATACCCTTTATGGGCTCCCGGTATTACAAGCACATAATCCAGTATCTGGTGTCGTTGGCCGTGGGCACAATGACAGGCGATGCATTGCTCCACTTACTGCCGCATGTGAGTAGCAAGGGATATTTGTCCTTCTTGTGTGATTTATAATTTCTGTGATTCTCTTTGTATGACAGTCGCTGGCTGGACAGGATGAGCGAGGCATGATCATGAAGGGCTTGGGCTGCCTGGGCGGCATCATCTTCTTCTACATAACAGAGCATGCGCTGACGATGATCTCCGAGTGGCGGAAGAGCGTGGAGAAGAAGGAGACCAAGAAGCCATCGCGTGCGAAGGTGATGCGCGATCCGGACTCGTCGGTGAACAACTCCGTGGCGGGGGACAAGATCTGCAAGCAGAAGTACAGCTCCTATCCGTACTGCTACGATGAGATTACGATGAACAACAAGCAGAGCGAGTGGATGCATCTGCCCGGTGACGGTGTGGCTGCCTCTGCGGCAGGAGCAGGCGGCGATGCGGCGTCCGCCTCTGAGATACGCAATGGACTCTCCGATCACGATGGCTCCAGTGAAATGGCAGCAGCCGCAGAGTCGCTGCTCTCCACGCTGCACACAAACTGCGTGGAGATGAACCACCACAACCACAATCACAAGCATAACAACCACCAGCAGCAGCAGCAGCAGCATCAGGAGGCGCAGGATAACAATACCATTGTCACGGATCTGGATGGGAATGCCGTGTATGCCGCCTCGAACAGCAACAAGGTGGCGGATGGTGGCAAGGACGGCAAGAACGATCATGTGACAGTCATTCTAAGGGAGCACGAGTCATCGCATCATGGCCACAGCCATCGGCATGGGCACGTCCATTCGCCGCCAGAGACGCTGAGCGCCGTGGCCTGGATGATCATCATGGGCGATGGGCTGCATAACTTCACCGATGGCATGGCCATTGGAGCGGCATTCGCCGAGAATATTGCCGGTGGCTTTTCCACCTCGCTCGCCGTCTTCTGTCACGAGCTGCCCCACGAGCTGGGCGACTTTGCCATTCTGATGAAGGCGGGCATGTCTGTGAAATCGGCTGTGTACTACAATCTGTTGACGGGTGTCCTCAGCTTCATTGGCATGATCTTTGGCATTGCCTTTGGCCAGTCGCAGGATGTGGCCCAATGGATGTTTGCCGTAGCAGCGGGTCTCTTTATATACATTGCCCTGGTCGATATGGTATGTCAAGCGATCTCCCTTTAAGCTTTACATCTACAGCTACTTATTACTTTGTTTCCTGCTTATAGATGCCTGAGATATCGGCCTCACACAAGTCCCTGGCCCAGTTCCTGCTGCAGATACTGGGCATGCTCAGTGGCGTGGGAATCATGCTGATTATTGCCCTCTTCGAGGGCGATCTGATGAACGTATTTGGCACCGCGCCGCCCAGTGCCGCCCACCATCAGCACGTGCATTAGAGCGAGTAGCCAGTGGCAAGTAGGGAGGGGAGCAACCAACCACCAACCAGCAACTACCAACCGCAGCGAATCTTATAGCGTAGCGTATTATGTGAATTGCAGCGAATTTTGTGTATTAACTGCATTTTTTTTTGCTTTCCGTCAGGTCTAGGATTTTTGGTTTCAATTATTATTTGTTTAATTTTTTGTTACACCTTGCACATATATACACACACCACACACACACACATACAGCTAGATCAACAGGTTATCAATTATAAAAAGAAAAAAGGCATTTGTTATCCAGTTTTTGAAACACCCACAAACAGGCAACAGGCAACATGCAGCATGCCACATGCAATGCGGTTCATTTTTGTTCCTAACTTTTGCTACAAAACTGAAAAGGAGAGAAAACATTTACAGAGAATAGAGCGGAGAATGTATGGGCCTTGCGCTGGAGCACGGACCCACCGATTACTGATTACTGCTACACTAAAACGGAAACGGAAACAGAACCTTAACACTTACGAAACATACGATTGTAGGATATATATATATATGTATACATATACACTGGTACTATATGCATACACACATATGTACACCATATGCATGGGTACATATAGTTTTTTTTGTATTTTGTAGTAGTCTAGGGTGCGCACGAGACGTTTACTTTACGCGAGTTTAACACACATTCTGTAAGCAAAATGTCAGCGATTACTTAAAGATTTCGAAGCTACATGTTATCTACATTTGGAGATCGAGCCAACCCCCCACCCATTTAAGTTTAATTTATTATCGTATTTGTAATACATTTCAAACGAAAACTATTCTAAATGCACGCTCATACATAATTTTGCCAACTCTCCTGAAACGAAATTTCGTTTAATTATGATTTATTTTTGTAATAAAACAAATCGGAAATATATAATTGCATTGCCCTTATTTTATGGTTTAATTTTGCTTTGATTTTGTATGTTTAATTTGCGCACACAAACTAACACGAAACGAAAGTGATTGTGATTCAAAATGAGTAACTAAACATTTGTAAAATGTTGCGACTTTGATGAGGAAACAAACACCCCACACCCCAAAAACCACACACCATACACCACATCCCCCCCCCCACATACACAGATCTGAAAACGAAACTACGAGTATCACTTTAACTGAGCAACTAACAATATTTTCTAAAAAGCCCACACACTATATGCTAAAGAGGCAGTAAAACCTATAGATATACCATACACTTAGCTGTAAGCTCACTGAAAACTACGAAGAATGGAAATCAAAGGATGCGGAGAACTTTGGAGAAATTGATGTAAAATTACTTTGGTGATATCAAGCAAAAGGCAATTGAAACGACTAAACGAAATAAGTTTACAATAATATTAATTAAACAAATATAAATGTATGTGTGTCGTGTAAGTGTGCACCAGCACACGCAAATTGGAGCGTATTTTGCTACATTTAAGTTTACCTTAAACACTTTTTAAATTATCAAATAAATGTTTTTCCACCTCAACTTCGTAAACAAAATGTGTGTGCAAAGCAGTTCGAATTTAGCGGGCAGGCAGTCGATCTATCGATGAGACACAAATGTATCGGTCAAAGGTATCGAAGTAGCCCTGGCTCTGATTTGTTTTATATGCTTTGGCCGTTTTTGTTTAAACCTTGTTTTATAAATAATACAATAGAAATGAGTCCTGTAAGTTAGCCCAATCTTGTGGAAAATTGTTTAAATAGAGCGGTGCTAAGTTTGCTAAAATCGTTTTTTCCTCGGTATATTTTGACAGTGACAGGTATATTTCGGTATTTTTCGGACTGTCAGGCGGTATATTATATTGATAACTCCGCGGTCACACTGTCCCCATTGCCGCTGTCAAAATAAAATTGTAAGATGCTGCCAACATTTTTCAAATTCCTGGCCATTTTCTGCATCTTTGCTAAACAAACGTATGCGACGACCAACCTGAGTCCAGGGGCCGTTGGCGTGCACCGTCGATTCGAGTACAAGTACTCGTTCAAGCCGCCGTATTTGGCTCAGAAGGACGGAACCGTACCATTCTGGGAGTACGGGGGAAGTAAGTAGAAGAGCTCCACGTCAGTTGTTTTGGCCCATTCGCCGCTGCCAGCGAGTGCGAGCGAGATGGCGATGGCCCGAACTGGCTGCTGCCAAGCTGCAAAGTGGACACGCAGGCACTTTGTTTTAATTTAAATTTAGCCCCACACGGCCACCTGGACACCACGATTACAACTTGTTGCTTTGATTTTCAGATGCCATTGCCAGCTCTGAGAGTGTGCGTGTGGCACCGTCGCTGCGTTCGCAGAAGGGCGCCATCTGGACCAAAACGCCGACCAACTTCGACTGGTGGGATGTGGAGATTGTGTTCCGTGTGACGGGACGTGGCCGCATCGGAGCCGATGGTCTGGCCTTCTGGTACACCACCGAGAAGGGAGACTACAATGGGCCCGTGTTCGGCTCATCGGACCGCTGGAATGGTCTGGGCATCATCTTCGATTCCTTCGACAACGACAACAAGCACAACAATCCCTACATCAGTGCGGTAGTCAACGATGGGACCAAGCAGTACGACCATACCAACGATGGAACGACGCAGATGCTGAGCGGTTGCCTCAGGGATTTCCGTAACAAGCCCTTCCCCACCCGGGCGCGCATCGAATACTACAATAACGTGCTCACCGTCCTCATCCACAACGGCATGACCAACAACAACGACGACTACGAGCTGTGCATGCGTTCCGATGGGGTGAATCTGCCCAAGAACGGCTACTTCGGTCTCTCGGCCGCCACCGGCGGCCTGGCCGATGATCACGATGTGTTCCACTTCCTCACCACTTCCCTGCACGCTGCTGGCCAGGTCCAGGAGCCCCAGAAGGTGGACAACCAGGAAAAGCTGACGGCGGAGTACAACGAGTATCAGGATAAGCTGGAGAAGCAGAAGCTGGAGTACAAGAAGGATCATCCGAACGAGGTGCGTGCTGCCACGACAACAACTAATAGAGACATCCGCCCAGCGGCTTATCTGTTCCATTGAAACGCCATAATCTGTTCGCTGAATTAATCGCTTTCGTTTGCCTCTCCCTCTTCTAGCACAAAGACGAGGAGGACTGGGAGGAGTTCTACGAGTCGGAGAACCAGCGCGAGCTGCGTCAAATCTGGCAGGGACAGAGCCAAATTGCCGAACATCTGCGCGAGCTGTCCCGCAAAGTGGATGAGATTATTGGACGCCAGGAGAACACGCTAACGCTGGTCTCCCGCGGCCTGGCAGCCAACGCCGGACAGGCCCTGCCGCCACCAGCCGCTGGCGGTGTGCCCCAGCAGCAATTGTCTGGCGGCGGTGTGGTCAGCCGATCCGATGTGGATTTACTGCTAACCAATCAGAATGTGCTGCTCAGCTCCATACGGGAGATACGGCAACTGGTGGGCGATATCAATGTGCGCACTGATAACATTCAGACAAATCAGAAGCACGCGCCCACAGCCCAGATCCAGTCCACCGGCTACGATGTACAAACGCTCATAGCCGAGATGCGTGACGGCATGAATCAGGTCAAGCAGGGCATCTCCCATGTGGGACAAAAGTGAGTTTGGTTGCCCACTGAATGATCTTTTGGTGCTCAACTTCCGTTTACGTTTCTTTGCAGACTGCAATCTGCGCCCCAGGCCGGAGCGCAGGTGGCCAACTGTCCCACTGGCAGCTGTGTGGGCGTCACATTGTTCCTAAGTGTAACCGTTGTGCAATTGCTGCTAGTATTTATCTATAATATATTCAAGTGAGTAACAGATCTGGAAAATCTGCCATTAACATTTGCTAACTAACTTTTGGGTTATCCTTTGCAGGAACCGCAGTGAGGCGCAGGCGAAAAAGTTCTACTAGGCCAACAAATGCTAAAAACGAACACCACACGGAACCACACACACACACACACACACACACACACCTGACTAGGCGCAACTAAATTTAGTGAAAATGATTTACTTAAGACTACAGCGTAGAGTGCTCAACAATTATGCATCCAGCTGGTGTGCAATTGTTTCGTTTTTGTATTGTGTTTAACGAATATTGATTGGATTAGTCAGGTGCCGGAACGTAATGGAAGCCATTAATTACTTAAACTGAAACTTTAACTGAAGAATGAACAAGAAATCTGAACAACAATGCAGTCGCCCTCATGACAATGCCCAAGCAATACAAAACCGATCGAAGAAGCCACAAGACAAACCTTTATACCCCCATTTACCCCACTCCCCACTAGAACATAGTCTGATGAAGATTTTTTCTATTTGTTGTCTAGCAGGGCAAGTCGAAAGCCAATCTATTCTCAACGCTGCATATCATCATGTGTGTGCAGGCATTTCTTAAAAAACAAACAAAAAAAAAATCACATAAAAATTGAAAAAAATTCTATATAAAATATATGTATGAAATGATTCCGTAAATGTAGCTAATTTTCGTTTATAATTTAATGTGAGTGCTGGAACGGCAACAGAAATATTTCCAATTTCCAGGAGAATAAGCAGCCAGCTTTTTTGTTGTTATTTAGCCTGAAAGTGAATTTATGTAAGAATTATAATAATGTTTGATGGATGGAACGAACTTCTCTCTCTCTCTGCTCACTTAAGTTTTTGTTCTTTTCATGAAGGTTTTTATACTGAATAATACTAATTAATATACAATACTTACTGATAAATTATGTATGTACGAGTATGATTACAAATGGAAGTCAAGTGGGTGTTGTTTTTATAGAACGGCATACGAGTGTGAGCAAAGTGTGTTGTCCATTCCATTCCACTCTCGATAGAAATGTTTAAAATGAAAATTAAAAATAAAAAAATCCATTTATAGAAAGAGATCAATTCAGCGAAACTTTATCCTTCAAAAAAACTTTATCTACTTTTCTTTCAGTTTTTCTGCCTTATTTTTATATTCCTGGGAATGTCTGCGCTAGCATAAACTGTAAGCCCCCCGTCCAACATCGATGAGAATGCGGCAAAAATGGCGCCACTTGGTCGCCAAGTGCGTGGGGCACGGCACGGGCAGGGGGTGAGCGAGTTCTGGTGAACTTTGGCCATAAAATGTAACTGCCATTGGTGGCATTGTGGGCACACAGTCCTATGTGGTTTGGGTGCCATTCTCCTTCTCCCTCCTCTACTGGTTAAAAAAAAAAACAGTCAGGAATATACAGCCAAAGATAAATGGACAGAAGCCAACGGCAGTCATGGGCCATGTTATAAATTCAGTCCAGGATTGGGGCTTGGGGTTGGGGATCTGTAGCTGAGTCGAGAGTGTGGTTGGATGGTCGGAAGCTGGCCACAGGCACATGGCCCATCCGTTTATGTAAACCAGAGGCTTCTTATGTACTGGCCAGAACTTCCAGTGCGCAGGAGCAGGAGCAGGACCCGTACCAGTACCAGTCCACACGGCGCACACCAGTCGCAAATGGCTGGTGCAAGGGTAGGAGACGCGGATGGAACTGTGTGGTGGCGGGGGCAGTGGAACGGCTATTAACATTTTATAACAGCCAATCGGAGTAAGGCTCACAGGGTTAGAAAATGGTTTCGTTTAGCTTTGGGGAATGGGTAGTTATACACTGAGGGAATATTCTTATAGTTTAGATGTGTGATAGATAGATACGGTTAGATAGGAGACAGCTCCAATTAATAATTATATCTATAGAGTCTTATAAAAAGTGATTTCTTCTTAATACTAAAAGATCTTTATTGCTTGTCAAGTAAATAATTAAAAATAAATACTATTGCTTGTGAAAAAGCCCCAACAAAAAGAGAAAATGCTTATAACGTGATGTAAAATATTAAATTAATTTTAATCACCTTTTTTCTGAACAGTTGTGTGGTTTTTATTGTTGAAAGTTTAAATAGTTCTATACAGACTGTGGAGATGTATAGTATAACTATATGTAAGGGGATATATGTAGCTAAAATGATGCGATACTCGTACACTCAATTCGTTGTATAGCTACTTCAATGGATAGAATATACCTTTTAGAGATAGATATTCTGTAAGCAAACTAAGTTAATCGATTTCATAGTCGTTTATCTATAGATGAGTTAAATGTGCTTTTAATCATTGATTGAGCAAACTGGAAACATTTTAGAGTGATTTTATATTCTCTCTTTTTATTGTTTTACATAGAAATCTGTTTTTCTTAAACTTTGATCTAATATTATCGATATTTGAATTGCAATGCCCTGAAACATTCTTGAATACATACATGTACATATATTAACATGTATATCTATGGAAATATAAATTGGTAAATTTCTATATTTTATTCCAATCCATTTAAGTTATCAACCAGTTCGATTACGAGTGTGTACCCGTGTGTATTCACCCCCGAAACAGATCTAAAATATTTTTAAATATAATCCATATTGCATATTTACACATCTGTGGAGTTTCAGAGTTCGCCACAATCCAATCCATTAGTAAATGAAATTCATAA